AATTCTGCAAATACACTAAAAGCCATTTAACTGTAGACTAGTATGGGAATTATACCTATAAGCTGTTTTGAAAAATGATAAATGACTACTCTTTCTCTAGGTACTGGATTTATACACTCAATTTATCTTTTATTATTCAGGAAAAATAAAAGGAAATAAAGGAAATTTTTATTTTTATTTTGACACGGAGTCTCGCTCTGTCACCCAGGCTGGAGTGCAGTAGCACGATCTCGGGTCACTGCCACCTCTGCCTACTGAGTTCAAGCAATTCTCCTGCCTCAGTCTCCCACATAGCTGAGATTACAAGCACTTGCCACCATGCCTGGCTAACTTTTGTATTTTTAGTAGAGATGTGGTTTCACAATGTTGGCCAAGCTGGTCTTCATCTCCTGACCTCAAGTGATCCACCTGCCTCAGCCTCCCAAAGTGCAGAGATTACAGGTGTGAGCCACCATACCCGGCCAGAAAAATGTTATTAAAGCAAAAATGTGTTTCCTGGACTCACAAAAGCATCACATAATTGGGCCATCGTTTGGCCAACCTAAAGAAAGGCTTTAGCCTAGGCGACATGGCAAAACCCCGTCTCTACAAAAAATTTGCCAGATGTGATGGTGTGTGCCTGTAGTCCCAGCTACTTGGGGGGCTGAAGTGGGAGGATTGCTTGAGCCTGGGAGGCAGAGGTTGCAGTGAGCCGAGATCATGCCACTACACACCAGCCTGGGTGACAGAGTGAGACCCTATCTCCAAAAAAAAAGAGAAGAGTTTCCTAGCAGAGCAATTTATAATAATGATATTCAATAATGAGAAATGGGTGCTAGCATTAATCAGCCTTGAGGCTGGCTCTTGCTTTTTCTTCTTTGTTTTTGTAACCTTAAGGTGGTGACTCGGAAGGGTTATGTACAAGAATTCCATTATGGTCTGGTGAGGAATTCCAGTATGGTCTGGTGCGAAATTCCCCCCAACTTTATAGTTTGAAAAATGTCAAACTGAAAGAAAAGTTGAAAACAGAACCACTATTTATCTAAATATGCTTCACTTAGATTCAATTGTTAACATTTTGCCACATATAACTTTTCTTTCTATATATAAATTTACTTTTTAGCCGGGCGCGGTGGCTCAAGCCTGTAATCCCAGCACTTTGGGAGGCCGAGACGGGTGGATCACGAGGTCAGGAGATCGAGACCATCCTGGCTAACACGGTGAAACCTCGTCTCTACTAAAAAATACAAAAAACTAGCCGGGCGAGGTGGCGGGCGCCTGTAGTCCCAGCTACTCGGGAGGCTGAGGCAGGAGAATGGTCTAAACCCAGGAGGCAGAGCTTGCAGTGAGCTGAGATCCGGCCACTGCACCCCAGCCTGGGCGACAGCGAGACTCTGTCTCAAAAAAAAAATAAAAATAAAAAATAAATTTACTTTTTTGTGGCTGTGTACAGTCATTGCATCACTTCACCTCTACACACTTTAGCATGTGTCTCCCAAGGACACTTTCCAATATACACCCCAAAAATTTAACATTGATATAATGATACAATATATAGTCCAATATAAAGTCCAGGTTCAAATTTCCTTCAATGCACCTCCCAAAATGGCCTTGTCAGTTGCTCCCCATTCTCTCCCATCATGCATCACATTTGAAAGTTTCTTTAGTCTCTTTTAATCTTGTAATCTAGCAGTCTCTTGCCTTTGGTTTTGTTGTTTTGATTTTTGGTCTTCGGTGTCTTGTTCATTTTTAAGAGTCCAGTCTGGTTGACCTACAGAATGTTGCTCATTGGATTTGTCTGTTTCCTATGACCAGATTCAGGTTAAATATTTTTGCCAAGGATGCTAAAAAGATGAGGTTGGGTACTTCTTACTGAACTATCATCGGGGCACTAGTGTCAGGTCAGCCCATCCTGGCGATGCCAAGTGTGATCCCTTTGGTAAGGTTCTGACTGCCAGAACTCTCACTTGTAAAGGTATATTTTCCCTCTGTAATTAATTTGTAATTCATGTAAAATATGTGGGATAATACCCTCAGGAAGTTCAGGAAGTTCTGACCGCTTCTTACTTCTTACGCCTCACTCTATAACGTCTTTGGTTATGTCTACAGACAGACTAGAGTGAATTAATAGTAAAGAATCCTATTTGAAAGGCCAGGCAGTGTGCTGGCTCACACCTATAATTCGAGCACTTTGGGAGGCCAGGGAGGAAGGATCGCTTGAGCCTGGGAGTTTGAGACTGAAGAAAGCTGTTATTGTGCCACAGCACTCCACACTGGGTAACAGGATGAGATCCTGTCCAAAAAAAAAAAAAAAAAAAAAAGTCCTATTTGAAGGACAAATATACAAATATTCAGGAAATCCCCAAAGGAGAGTAAAGCTCTAGCTGTAAAAAAGTCTTTAAAAAGTAAAAGAGCAGTTAACTAGAGAAAAGGCAAAGGGCTATGGGATCTTCAGCAGAGTCCTAGATTGGACAGGCAAGTGGTGAGGACAGAGGCCTCTCTGGTCAATATGGAGGCCCTCACCTAGATGAGTGGAGACTCTTCTCAAGGCCTGGTGCCTGGTACGCATGAGGGTTAAATGACATGAAGTCAGCAGCAAAGAAAACCTCTTCTGACCTGCCACCAGACCTCTAAGGAAATAATACTTCTGAATTTCCCTTCCCCTTTGTCCACTCAAATGTGGTTTCATCTCCTCCCCGGGAAAGAGATAATGCTGCAAGCCCTTCCCGCCTCTGCTCTAGCAATTTCCTTCTTTGAACCACTCCCATGGTGGGGGAGTCCTGGCAAAGCAGAGAAGGACACTCCACCATTTCACAGCAGTGTGGGAGTAAAGAAGGCCAGGGGGCTCTCCAAGGAGGAAATGTTGAGTGTAAGGGAAACTAGATTCTGCCTGGGGAGGAGATGCTTCGCCCCTGAGGTGCAAACTGCTGTCGCTTCAATTTGTATGATTAGACACAGCTGGGGAGAATAATTTACTGACCAATACAGACAATTTACATTTCTGAGACACAATTTTAAAGGAATTATTAAATACAGCTTCTAACAAAGACCATAATGACATCTTTCTTTATGCAGAACCCTGGGAGCTCAACAGAGGAAGACACAGCTTATTTTCCAGATACTGGTTCCATATGGGCTACCACCAGTTACAGCTGCAGAGGCCAAAAAAAGCTGAGGCGTAGTGAGCATCTGGCATTAAAAGTCAATGACCTGGCCAGGTGTGGTGGCTCACCCCTTAATCCCAGCACTTTGGGAGGCCGAGGTGGGCGGATTACCTAAGTTCAGGAGTTGGAGACCAGGCTGGCCAACATGGTGAGATTCCTTGTCTCTACTAAAAAAATACAAAAACTTAGTCAAGCATGGTGGTGCACGCCTGTAATCCCAGCTACTCAGGAGGCTGAGGCAGGATAATTGCTTGTACCTGGGAGGCAGAGGTTGCAGTGAGCCGAGATTGTGCCACTGCACTCCAGTGCACCACTGCACCCCAGCCTGGGCAACAGAGCAAGACTCCGTATCACCCAAAAAAAAAAAAAAAGTCAATGACCCCTTTCAAGGAGAACTGTGCTGTGCTGTGCTGTGCTGTGCTGTGACTGTGACTGGTCTGTGCCGGTCTGGAGCCACACATTCTCATGAACACTCCCCTGATCGTTCCCATCAGGGACAACATGGCCAGGCAAATAGCACATCTCTCCAACTAAGTCAACAGGACAGACAAAGCACTGGGCGGAGGATCAATGTGCCTCAGTGGTGGGTTGTTTGGCTGACTGCTGATTAGGGAGTTGGCATGCTTTCTTAAACATCAGCATCCTGCTTTTAGACATTCAGCTTTCTTTTTTCTCCCACGGATGCAAGTCTCTGTCTCTTCATAACGAAACCTGAGGATGTTAACATAAATTTTCAATTCTTGGGCACCTCTCAGGTTGAGACCAGGCTAAAGTTTCAGGATACAGGGGTGTCCTCAGTCAAATCAGAAATAATTCCTTACATCATAGACACCTCTCTTAAAACGAGCCATGCCTGCCCCTTTCTAGAAATGAGTAGGCACATTAAGCACACAGTTTTAAATGAAACTCATATGAGCTGAACACATTTTGCAAAATTACTCCCTCTCAATACCAAACTTATTTATTTTTTTGAGATGAAGTCTCTGTTGCCAAACTGGAGTGCAGTGGCGCGTTCTCGGCTCACTGCAACCTCTGCCTCCCAGGTTCAAGTGATTCTCCTGCCTCAGACCCCCGAGTAGCTGGGACTACAGGCACATGCCACCATGCCCAGCTAATTTTTGTATTTTTAGTAGAGACTGGGTTTCACCATGTTGGCCAGGATGGTCTCAATCTCTTGACCTTGTGATCTGCCTACCTCGGCCTCCCAAAGTGCTGGAATTACAGGTGTGAGCCGCCATGCCCAGCCCCAAACTTCTCACTGCTACTAAATAAGCATGCAAAATTCCAAATGAGAACGAGAGATAGACATTGGACACAGCTGTGATTCTTGACACCTCAAAGTTACGTCTGGGGTTGGAGGGGAGCGTGCTTTATGGTCCTTGCATTACAGGAGGCTGAAGTGGTGAAGGTCATTTTTCAGCACTTGGCACTCCTGCTAGGGTCCTGACTCCCAAGTCTATTTTCTCAGTGGCATCCACAACATCGCTTGCTCATTCAGTTGCCAGGGTAGCATCTCTGGCTTCCTACAGGCCACAATTCTACTAACATCAATGGGAAACTTAATGAGGCTCAGATCCCAACCTGCCTGTCTTCCTCCAGAGGCAGCTCCCACCTCTCCTTACAAAGCTGGGATACGACATCATCAGCATTCCCCCTGTGGTGCCACCCCTCACAACCCAGGATTTAAAGAGCCCTTAGGAAGCAATCTATACAAGGGTGATCGCAAGAATGGGGTTACTTAAGCATGAGCCCTAAGTGTCACTATGCTAAGGCAATGCAAGGGATTTCAACAAAGAAATATTCGTTCTCACGTAGTTTGATACTGAAAGCAGAAAACTTTCTTTTTACTGCATACAGGAAATGGTTTTCATAGATGCTAACCACAGCTGAGCCATCTGTAAACCACAACATTGTTTCTCTTTAACAAATGAAAGATTTTTACCCATGGCATCACTGACCATCAAAAAGAATTCCCATCCTCCATCTCTAGAGCAAGAAAAAACAGTAAGTAGAATTTCTTTCCTTAATCTGCTAGCCAGGGGTTGCTAAAACAGCCTTTTCATTCAGAAATGTAGTTTGTCCTCCAAGGTTCATGTCACCCATCCCTACTGCTAGGTGATGTACAAACCCTTGAACAAGTCCAGTTTCTTTGCATTCTGAGAACCCCTCGGAGCATGCGCTTTTATGTGACCATGACTCACACTGGGTCATAATGTAAAACGTATAACTATGATTGAAGGCCAAAAAGTTTGAAAGAGATGCTTTAGCATTCACTGGCTGGCAGACGAAGGTCTGTTGAAACAAAGCTGGCTGGCTCTGCCAGCACAGACTGAAGGAATACTAGTTAAAAAAAGAAAAAAAATCAAGTGCAATCAACGAAAGTAGGGCAGACCCTTCTATTCCTTGATTCTTCCCTGTGTATTATTCATTTGTTTTGGGAAACTTGGCATCACGATCTCCCTGCTGTGAGAGCAAGGCCTCTGACCTGACGCTCCTCACCCCAAACTGTGAGACTGTGTGACTAACACCCTCTCCTGGGGGACCAGTGGCTTTGTTATGGCCTTCCAGTCACAGAGAGGCTCAGCTGGTAACTCTGCAAGGATTGCATGAGCGTGTTCATTGTTCTCAGTGTTCAGATGAAGGAACGGGGCTCAGAATATGGGACACTGATGGTCTCATGTGAATGAAACAACTGAAAGGAGGGAGACTCATGCAAATAAAAGAACAAAATCCAAAAACATGACCTCAGTCACACCAAGGAAGAGTTCCCTCTAAGAATGAAGAGAAACAAGAACCTAAATATAAGCTACTAAATTTACTTGTACTCTGGAAGAATGCTGGAAAATCTGATGACTTATTATTTCTTATTCTCAGCTAGCATTTTTTTTTTTTTAAGAGATGGGATCTTGCTGGTTTTGAACTCCTGGGCACAAGTCATCCTCCTGCCTCAGCTTCCTGAGTAGCTGGGACTCACAGGCACATGTCATCATGCCTCACTCAGCTAGCAGCTAATACTTTAATATTTTAATTTATTATTATTATTATTATTATTATTATAAGACAAGGTCTCACTATGTTGCTCAGGCTGATCCTGAACTCCTGGGCTCAAGGGATCCTCCTACCTCGGCATCCCAAAGTGCTGGAATTACAGGTGTGAGCCACAGCGCCCAGTCTGGCTAATACTTTTATAATAGCTTTACTGAGATGTAATCCACATTCTAAAGATTTCACCTATTTAAAATGGTACAACTCAGTGGTTTTTGGTATATTCATTACCACAATCTCATTTTAGAAAATTGTCACTACTGCCAAAAAGCCCCTTATATCCAGTAGCAGTTACTCTTCATTCCCCCAACCAACTCTTAGCAACTACTACTTTCTGCTTCAACAGATTTACCCCTCTCTCAGGCAATACTTTAAACCAACCTTGTCCAACTTGCCTTATTCTGTTGTTATTGTTTTGGGCTTTTAGCAGCCTGAAGCCATGTTTTTTAGTTTCTGTCTGTAGTGATAAGCGGAAAAGAGGGGTGAGGAAGGGGCTTTATTGGCCCACCCAGATATAGAAACTAAGAACCCATGACTGGTCTTATTTTCTTCCTTGGACACCCCTGTTTAAACCATAAATTTAAGATTATATATAAGCATCCAGAAGAAACAACACATCTCTCAATTGGTATCTATCACAGCCTCCTATAGGAAACACATTTAAACTTTCCTAATTTGTTTTCTACATGATGGTCATGCATACATTTTGTAAGAAGAATCAGAAATCTAGTTTTTACACAGGAATATTAGAATATCTGAGCATTGCTTGAAAAGTGAAGTCCCAGATATCACCAACAGTATTTCGGATCTGTGTTTTTAAAGCACTTGGGTACAGTGGCTTTGCAGTCAGTGTAGAAACCTGTCCCTTCTGCTTAATCAATTTTTATTTATAGTCATGTGTTGCTTGTGTTCTGAGAAATGTGTTAGGTGACTTCATTGCTGTGCCAACATCATAGAGTGTACTTACACAAACCTAGATAGTATAGCTTACTACATGCTTACATTGTATGGTAAAGTTGATTGCTCCTAGGCTACAAATCTGTATAGCATGTTACTGTACTAAGTACAGTAGGCAACTGTAACACAATGGTAAGTATCTGTGTGCCTAAACACATCGAAACCTAGAAAAGGTACAGTAAAAATATGGTACAGTTGAGCATCCTAAACCCAAAAATCTGAAATCCAAAATGTTCCAAAATCCAAAACATTTTGAGCACTGACATGACACTCAGAGGAACATTTCGAATTTTGAATTTCCAGATTTGGGACGCTCAACCACTAAGTAAAATACAAATATTAAAAAAAAAAAAAATCCCAAATCTGAAATGTTTCTGGTCCTATGCATTTTGGACCAGAATACTTAGGATACTTAACCTGTGCATAAAAGATAAAAAAATGGTACAGCTGTATAGGACGTTTACCATGAATGGAGCCTGCAGGACTGGAAGTTGCTCTGGGTGAGTCAGTGAATGAGTGGTGAGTGAATGTCAAGGCCAAGGACATTACTGCACACTACTGTGGGATTTTATAACCTCTGTACACTTAGGCTACAATACATTTATTTAAAAAATTTTTTCTTTCTTCAATAAAAATTTAACCTTAGCTTACTGTAACTTTATAAATTTTTTAATCTTTTAAAACTCTTTTTTTTTTTTTTTTTTTATGAGACGGAGTCTCGCTCTGTCACCCCCAGGCTGAGAGTGCACTGGCCCGGATCTCAGCTCAACGGCAAGCTCCGCCTCCCAGGTCTCCATGCATTCCCCGCTGCCTTACCCTCCGGAGTAACTGGGGAACTACAGCGCCCGCCACACTCGCCCACTAGTTTTTTTTTTTTGTAATACATTTAGTAGCAGCACGGAGTTTCCTCATCGTGTTAGCCAGCGATGGTCTCGGATTTCTGACCCTCTCGTGAACTGGCCGCGTCTCGACCTCCCAAAGTGCTAGGATTACCAGGATCTGAGCCACCGCGCCCGGCCCCTTTTTAAAACACCTTTTTTTGACGTGTTTGTGGTAATGCTTGAGCATAAAACATAGCACAGCTTGTAGAAATATACTTATTCTCTGTTTCCATAAGGTTTTTTCTATTTTAAAATGTTTATCACTGTTTTACTTTTTACAAATAAAAAAAAAAAAAAACTAAGACAAACAACACTACATTAGTCCTACGCCTGAACACAGGTCAGCGCACCATCCCAATTCACCTGTCCTTTTCACCTCCTTACTTTGTCCATTGCGAAAGTCTTCAAGAGCAACAACAGGTCCTGGAGCTGGTCCCATCCCCTATGAAAACAATGCTTTCACTATGAATCCTTCCTGAAGGACCTGCCCTGAGGCTTGTTTTACCGTTAACTTTTTTTTTTTTTTTTAACGAGTAGTACAGGAATACCACTCTAAACAAAATAACAACTCCAAAAGTATACCATCAGGGCCGTGCCGGTGGTTCACCACCTGTATCAGCACTTTGGGAAGGCTGAGGCAAGGTGGATCACCTGAGCGTCAGCGATTCAAGACCAGCCTGACTAACAATGGTGAAAACCCATCTCTAGCAAAAATACAAATTTGCCGGGCCTGGTGGGCACGTGCCTGTATCCCAGCTACTCTAGAGGCTGAGGAAGGGAGGAATTGCTTGAACACCCAGGAGGTGGAAGTTGCCAGTGAGCCGAGAATCATGCCATTGCACTCCGCCTGGGCAACAAGAGCGAAACTCGTCCTCAAAAAAAAAATAAAAAAAGAAGAAGAAGAATAAGTACACTATAAATACATAAAACAGTAACTATAGCTGTTTATTCTATTTTTATATGACTGGCATCCGGTAGTTTGTTAACACCAGCATCACACCATGAACACACGAGTGGTGTGTGGCTGTATTTAATTTTTATCTGGGCAAGTTAACTTTCTCTGAGGCTGCAAATAAGTACCATTAGTAAAATGAAGTAATAACGATCACTACCTTGCAGGGTGATGATTAAATGAGATATTCATCACTCAGCCCTTTATCCTTGATGTGCCTTCAGTGGGCCAGACTCTTTTTTGGCCAACTGGAGACTAGACAGATTTCTGCCCTCATTTAATTTAGTCACAGACAGATACACCAAACCACAGTATTACATTAGGGAAACCACTACACAGGCAAGTGCAGTAGCAAGCATGGAATCCCTGAGATGGCGGAAAGCCATAGAGAGGGTCAGGGGGAGTGTCGAGAGTTGAAGGATGAGAAAGGAATTTGCCGACGGGAAAAAAGGTGGATAAGAGCGAAGTCCAGAATAAGGCAATAGGCAGTGAGATGTGGCTGTAGAATGCACTTAGCATAATGCCGGTGCACAGCAGATCATCAATACTACCCGTCGTCCTCACTATCTTATCCTCGTGTTATGAAAAAAACTCCACTACTAGAATCCAGAAAGAAATTTTAAAAAATTGCTGTTTGCTGGCCAGGCACAGTGGCTCATGCCCTGTAATCCCAGCACTTTAGGAGGTCAAGGCAGGTGGATCACCTTGAGTCAGGAGTTTGAGACCAGCCTGGCCAACATGGTGAAACCCGTCTCCTATTAAAAATACAAAAATTAGCCAGGAGTGGTGGTGGCAGGTGCCTGTAATCCTAGCTACTCCAGGAGTCTGAGGCAAGGAGAATCACACTTGAACCTGGGAAGGTGGAGGTTGCAGTGAGTTGAGATCAATGCTACTGCCACTACATCCTGGGGCGACAGAGTGAGGCCCTTGTACACTCAAAAAAAAAAAAAAAAAAATTGCTGCTGCTAGGAAAGATTAGTGGATCTGGGACTTAGAAGTTGCTTGTTCTTTTTCTGAGGCTAAGTCATCTTTGGCAGCAAAGTGTATTTTAAATTTAGATGGCTTCTTTCCCCACAAACTTTTAATTTTGAGAAATTTCAAGCCAAGAAAAGCTGATGTCCTTTAATCAAGAACAGTCCCCCTACCTGTAAAATGGCCTGCTATTTGGACTTGTCTGATTGTTAATTTGAGCTTCTTTGACGGCATCTGGGAGTCTTCTAGCATGGAAAAAGTCCTTGAACTTTTCTCCATCTATACCCACTCTTTGGGTGACTGCATCCAGTCCCATGGTTTAAATACTATTTGTATGCCTATGACCCCCAAATGTCTTACCTTCAGCCCAGACTCTAATTCCAGCTTTATATACCCAACAGCTTTGAGTGCCCTACTCTGCTCTGCTTATAGCCTTGCACATCTTAGTTGTGGGGGACAACATCTGTCCAGTCCTTACCTCCCAGACCCCCTCTCCTAGTACAGCCCCTTGTACAGTCCCCTTCAAGCATGGATCCACCTTACAGGCCTTGCCTCAAGCTAC